CTCCCAGGCGTTTCTCTCAACTTAGCTCATAATCAAAGGTCACAGCTCCTTCTGTTACATCACAATAATACATACATTGAAACAGATTGCAAACTGTAACCAGCATACCAGTACCAGGTACATTCTGTTTAGATTTGTAGTATTCCCTAAAACACTACAGTTCCATAGATTGTAATCACAGATGTATACAAAAATGTGTGCAGGAACCAATTGCAGAAAACCATCCTTACCACACTTCATATTGTGAGTACAGTCAGCAAGTCAGCTGAATCCACCCTTCAGACCATGTGTGGACAATCCTCAGCTCCTCAGAGTCAGCAGCGGCTGAGCATCATGCGGGCATCAGCCATCGACAGTGCTTCCTTATTGCCCTAACAATTTGATTAAGTTCAATGAAAATTAGTTCTGCCTGGCAAGTGCAGAGTGGCTGAGAAGTGGATTACAGCCATTCACTACTCCCCGGTCCTCCACAGCTTTTATTTCAAAGACTAAAGGATTGAGGGTCTCAGAAATGACACTTGGAGAGCTCCATGGTAACCGTCTACTGTTAATTCACATATGTTCACATGATCTCACACTATTAGCGCTCACCAGCTAGCTATGGTGACAACTTTCTTTAGCTAGTTAGTTGCATTCGATTTTTTGGTACAAATATGTGCAATGTGTACAGTTATCCACAAACCAATGGTAACATTGCAGATTATAAATAAAAATGGTTTGTGGATATTTTGTGACGAAGGAGAGGCTTACAACAGGTTTGCTAGGGCTCAGTGGGTTTTGGTGAGAAAACACTCAATGTAAAACATAACTAGCTTGACAAGAACATTTTACAAGATGCCTTTAAAACCAGTACCATAAATTAGCCATAAATAGTGGCCTGGGCCTTTATTTACCTCAGTGGCAGAACCAGGCCTTTATAGGCTTTATTTCCCATTCCTCAGTTAAAGCTGCAGTATGTAACTTTTATAAAACCAATTTTTTGAGAAAGATATAAAGACGCTTTAGGTTGGAAGCTTGAAGAGGGTTGAAGATTGTTAGGTCTAATTCCTAGAGTCCCAAAGCGTCCCAAAGCGTCCCAAAGTGTATTTGACACCCAGGGACTGAGACTCAACAATCAACTGTCTTTCTCGACTATGATTGGTTGTTTTCATTCAGGCCCGGTGGATTCTTGCTTTCTTACTTTACTTTTAAAGTCTAACCAGATGTTGCATATGAATTATTTCTACCTTGACCGGACGTTGCATAATAATTACTGCTTACTTAATCAGCATCATATTTTGAAGCTCAGGGGCAATGACCCAGCTACAGTATTGGATGAGTTTGGAGTGAGAACGTGTTGGTACTTACGTATGGAAGACATTTCCATGCTGTCTGTAACATCTTACTGTACATTGTTAGAAGTACTGCAGGGTTGAATGCAGATGTCCACTTTTTAGTGTCACTCTATGTCCTTTGTTCTATTCCAACAACTCCCCAACCAGATGTTTTGTCTCCCTGAACCCCAAAGAGTTTATTGTTGATGTTATCAAAGTTTCAAATTTTTGTAGGATTTGATCATTTCAGAATCAACTAGGCACTGTATTCTCCTGCCTGACAGTAGTATAGACACCACCTCCAAGTGATCAGGTTAGACTTTATTTAGTTTAGTTTATTTTAATTGAGTTTGTTCTGTTAGATTGAAAACAACAGCAGCATGGACAGTATGTTAATCTTAAAGTGAATCAAAGGTACCAAATCCCCTCTCTCTTACAGGTACTCTCCCTCCTCCTTCATCCTCCATGTAGAGGGAGGGAGAGGTAGGAGTTGGGGGTGGGGGCTAGCAGCTTAATCCTTCTCATTTTGCTGCATGGCTGCTGTGATGCCTCCAGCCATTGAACAGGAGGAAGGGGATTTTCCAGCAGCTCATTTCTGGGGGGTTTTAGTGCAGCATTAGTGCAATTTGCAGCCCATTTTTCACAATATCAGTATGTGTGCCACAGTGCAGAAACGTGAAGCCACTGAGCATGTGTTTTCACGTCTTAAGAGCACACTGCGAGTTTTCTCCTTGGCCGCACTTTTATTATGGTCACTGAACCTCTGAGGGTTTGTGCAGAGTGGCTCCAGGAATCAGTCAGCTGTGGTTCCATGACCTTCAATTATGTCTCTGAACAACTCCAGGAACCACGTTCCGATGGAGAGCTTCTGCGTTGTGGCATACTGGTGCCTGCTTCTTCTTTTTTTCTTTTTACACAGTCTGTGCAAACACACAGAAGTGAGATTTAGTGTGCTTTGGCATGATTCAATATACAGTCCAACAGTGACTTGGCCTTCCTTTTATTATGTCTTCCTTTTTGCCATATGGGCAAACTGCAACATAAAGAAGCTTCTTAATCCATCTGGTGTTCATTTGCATGACCAGACAGGAAGTGATTTTCAAATAAACCTCAGCTGCCACTTAACCCATGGAAACCACGTATTACCAACATCAAATGGATGAACCTGTCCAAATATTGTTGATATAATTCTTTTGCCATTTCATGCTTTATTTGATTTGATTTTATTCAGCATGGAATCTGTAATATATTATGTATACAGACACCTCACTTCCCTCCCCACCCATCCAAACGTGTCTTGTGAATTGACTGATTACTTGTAACCGTTGATAGCGCAGCTGTGAGTTTCAGGGGTGTGTGTGAGTGAAATGTAACCAGCTGTAAGAAAGAAACCTCATTTACAATCACAACTACATTTGTAACAATACATAGACTGTGAAATATCCAGCTGGATAACATGACTGTCACCAAAAATATGTCATCTTGTCTAGTATGACGTCTGTCATGGAGGAAAAATAATAATTTATGCTATTGAATTATTAACTTGAAATGAAATGGCATTGAAGGCATTTCAGCATATGTTTAAAGGATAAACATTGTTCAACAAGGCAAAGTCATTCATTTAGCTCTGCAGTAACATGAGCAGTGGCTGAGGAACCCTGTTAGTGGCAGGTTAACAGCTCAGTTCCCACTCCCTTATTGCAGAGAGAGACAGAGCAGGGACCCCCTACTGCCTGATCACTTGAATTGTGCTACTAACATAATACTTTTAACAGAGCTAGCTAATCTTGGTTAATTCAGCAACAGACCTCATGTATAGTTTAAAAATGTGACGTCTTTAATTCTGTGTTTTATGTATTCTGTTTACCCTTCTCCTTTTTTGTTTTAACCTCTTACTTTGATAAAAGCCCTTCTCAGGAACGCTGTTGTCAGTTAGCATCCTCTATAGATATCTGGTACCTGCATCGACAGCTTTTTTCTAACCTGTCTGCGTTTCCTGTATCCGTCCCTGTCAAAGAAACCATAAAGAAATACATGTTAACATTGGGTTGCATATTAAATAGAAATAGGGTGCACATATCAAAATATTATTTTGACAATTGGGGCGAAGTGCAATATGCAGATTGCAGAGACTGCAGTGATTTGAATAATAGCATTATAATGAAGTGCTGTAGTGCTGCAGAGATGCTCTGGCCTACAAATCTTGTTCTCCAGATTTAAGAAAATGTCACATCATCATGATTTTACTCATTTGTTCAGGGAAAACCTAATTTGTGGAGCAAAAATGATCATTCCCACCCTAATCATGATACATATTACAATTGCAATATCTATTATATCTAATCTAATATATCTAACATATCTACCTAATATATCCAAATAGTTGCAATATGATGTTTTTACCATATCGTGCAGCCATAATATTAAACTGGGCCTACAGCTAGACAATATATATTAGACTCATTATGTTGTGTATTTTCAGACATGTTTTAATTTGTGAAAAAACACTTGATGATGAAAAATGATCAAACAATAACTCTGTGGGCCCCCTGCAATAAGACCCTGACCTTATACTAATATGTTCAGACACACATATACCACTTTGTAGACTAATGCAGTGCAAGTTATTAGACCATGGACAATTGAGATGAGCTGCTTAGATTTAATGTCAGTTAATGTACGAAACAAGTTGACTTCCTTCAGTTTTGATCTGTTGTGTTATCTTTTTTATTCCTTTTAAACAGACATTAAATATTGTTTTTTTAGCTCTTTTTTAATTGGTGTGCACTGTTTTCCATGATACTTGCCGGGATTGGTAGTCTAGACAGGAATGGGAAAAAACGAACATATTTGTTTATATAATTTGTTTATTTAATTAACATAATTTCCCACAAACCCTAGGCTGTTGTGGGTCAAAGGTCACCAGCTACGCAAACTGTCAAGTGGCGAGCTACGAGATTGAACAGGGATGGCTGAATGGTGCAGACATTTTTACAGCTTTGAGGTTTGAAAGACATCATGGATGTGGAGACACTGTTAGGGTGATGTGTATTAACTACTGTCTCAACTTATTTCATGGGAGCTGTAGTTTGAATTGAATTAGAATGCTCATTGCATATCTTTTGTTAAGGCCATAAAGGTTGCTGAAGCACATACTAGTAGCAAACTATTAAACCTCAAGAACATGTTTCACTTGAACTCCTTGCCTGGAGATGACGTAACGACTTTGGTGCTCTGTTCGATCTGAACAGAGTCCTTGTGTATGTGTGAGTGAATCACTGAGTCAACTCCTGGTGGTTCAGAGTACAGCTCTTGGCTTCATCACCACATCTGAAGTTCATTTCTGTTGAATTAAAGTGAGCAGAGTTTTTACCTTTCACTTTGCACTCCTAAAATGAACCAAGTCAGCAGTCTCAGATCCTAGCGCCTGTTAATCAGAGGAGTGCTCACGCTATACTTTCAGTGTGTCTTTATGAGTCTGACTTTATTGGTGAGTGATGCAGTGGTGCAGCTGTAATTGTGGTGTAAAATGCTGCTTAGTGTCTTTATTTTGCTTTCACAGTGAATGCATGTTTTACAGCTGTGTTAAAGATAAATGAAACACTTTGAAAACTCCTTGTTCATGACAAACCATTTGCAAGGGCTTCCTTTACAGAGTGAACATTTCACACCTGCTTACCATTGAATGTTTGTTTTACACATGCTCCACACATGTCTGATGCCTCGCCTTTAGCCTGCTGCTGTTGTTTGTGTTGCAGGCTGGTCAAAGACGCGCCCTGGGATGAAGTTCCTTTGGCACACTCTTTGGTCGGGTTTGCCACCGCTTACGACTTCCTGTATGAGTACTTGAACAAGGGCCAGCAGGAGCGCTTCCTCCAGGTGATCGGCAACGCGTCACGCCTCATGTACGAGAAATCCTACGTCCGAGGCTGGGGCTTCCAGTACCTGCACAACCACCAGCCCACCAACTGCGTGGCTCTGCTCACAGGAAGCCTGGTTTACATGACCCAAGGTTAGTGGATGGGGATTCATGGCTTTGTGATGTGTATGAGATGGAAATGTTGGTCAGAATGTCTGTCCAATACTTTGGCAGGTTTCCCACACGTCCTGGAAAACATGGACATTAAGATATCCTGGAAAACCCGTCACTCACTCATTCTGAAGAAAAATGTCTTGTTGTTGTGGTTAACGGCTGCTAACAAACATCCAGAAACACCTTACGTAAAACAATGCTCTCCCCCCATTCTCCTCCATAATGAAACAAACACTTTGTAGCACGGAGAGAGCTTTTTGAAACACTGAAAATGGATGTCCTTTATATGGTAGAACAGTGTTTACAGGCACACGACCTCTGCATGCAACTGCCATAAAGAGATAAAAAGTAATAAAGAGTGTCCCCAGAGGATGTTCCCCAGTGTTTTCCGTGACCCCCTAACTCTTCCTCCTTTAAGGACTTTCCATTAGAGTCAGACAATGCCTCGCTGACTTACATTTCCATTTCCAGTTTAAACACACCGAGTTTTGCCACACCAAAGATCTCCAGAGTATGGCCGCAGTGCCCGACTGCATCCAGTGCGGTGATGTGTCACCCAACCCATTCCCCCTTCTCCCCCCCAGACAAGCTTGTGTTACCAGACTCAACTCCTGTCTGTACAGAGCAGGCAGACAGTCTCTGTGTTCAGCTCTCAGTACTTCCGTAGCTTGTAACTGAATCTTTGGTTTGTTTCTGTCCTGCGTCTCTGATGTACTTTAACATATGTGCTTTATTATCCTGTTTCACGCTCCCTTTCAGCTGTATAGGAGTTGAGTTACTGCTGATGAAAAACATTTTCTGATTTTGCTGCTTCATTATGAAAGCTAAAACAAAACAACCCAAACTTTTTTGTGAAGAATTTATAGGAAATGAAATGTGTTTACCATCAAATTGACGGAGTTTAGTTAGCGGCTATTCTTAAATAAAAACGAGTCTCCATACTGCAGGGAGGAAGGTGTAACGTCGCTCCCTATCTTCATTCAGTCTCTACATTTTGGTAAGGCTTTAAAAACAGCAAAAGCATTAGCTCCCAACCCCAGCACGTTTGTATGAATGTGTAATGAACATTGCAGCCTGTAAGGGTGACTAGAAGGGGTTTTGTGTTTTGCCGGTGTAATAATAATCAACACTTGGTTGCCATGGTTTCACTGAGGTGGCTGATATTTAGTTTGCTTTATGCCCTTTATCATAACCTGTATATCTGCTAGCTTCAACTGTCTCAGTTGACCTCCTTCACTGGTTCCAGCTCTGTGGAGTTTACAGGTTGGAGTTAAAACCTGTCCGGCATTAAGAAGCTTCAACTCAGCCAGAGGAATTTCATTAGTCTGGTTTTCACTGTGGAGGTTTAGTTTCACATGGTCTTTAGACTGGTTTACAGGATTTCCACCCTGCTAAGGATACAGTTGTGGGGGCCTTACAGTAAAAAAATTCAGTTTTGACATAGAGTTTTAGATTTTGAGATATTAAATATTGTCACAGTCATTGTCAGTTTTAGCTCACAGTAATAATTGAACACATTCTTTACCAAACTATAAGGGGCTTGGTGACACTGTTCTGGACCATATTTGCTTATCTTGTCCACAATTGGCATATTCAGATATTTTGTCTCGATTAACAATCCAAAGATGTTCACAATGATATGAAACAGAAAGTCAGCAGGAGTTAAAAAAAGACTAAAATCATTTATTCATAGTTGTTGATAATTTTCTGTCAATTAACTAATGGATGAATTGCCTTCAGTTTGACTTCATTTAGTGAAAGTACTTTGTCCTTTAACCTCGTGTGCAGATGTGTAAAGATGTTTTCTTATGTAAATAGTTCATAATTAGGGATGGAAAGATTCAGCTTATCAGCACGGTTCTTTGTCAATTCCCTTATTGAGCCCTGATCAATTTTGTGTTTGGAAAAAGCACAGGTTTTCAGGTATATATAACCTTCTGAAATCTCTGGCTTTACAAATTGGCATTGGCTGAAATATTCCAGTGCTTACTTAAAGTGGAAAGCATTTTTACACCAGCTGGTCGTACTCCAAAGGACAAAACAGGAGTCTATATTACGCCCCCCTGAGGATTATCCTTTCATTATTGCAACATTCTTATTGCTTAAGAGTCGTGTTCAACAAAACATTGCTCCAATAACACTATGCATCATTCTTGAAAGAATTTAGGAGTCTTGGATTTACGGGATATGTTGGCTGAAACAAAACAGTGAAGAACTGTTTCTGTAGAACTTTACGGAATAGGTTACCAGTTAATTATCTCTTTATCTATAAGGATTGCTGTTGCTAGATTTTGTGCTGACTCATTCATGACACACTTGTTGCAGCAACATCTGTACAGAATGATATTACACATCGAAAACGCAGGATGGTACCATTGCCTTGATGACATATCCCAATTGATTTCCAGTAGAGCTGCTAGAGCTAGAGATTATTTCATTAGTCAATCAGTCTATCAACGCAACAATAATCAACATTGATTTATTGAGTCAAGATGCCAAACTTTCTCTCGTTTCAGTTTAAATGTGATGTGAGAGTTGATGGTTTTACTTGATAGTAAAGTGAATATTTTAAGATTTTGGATTGTTGTCTGACAAAACAACACATTTCATGTCATTTGAATGTCCAAATGTCATTTTATAGACAAAACAATTATTTAATTAATCCTCAAAATAATCTGCAGATTAATCAATAATGGAAAAAGTCAGGAAAATATAATTATTGCACAAAATCAAATCACATGTTGAAATTGAAACATTTTGTACCAGATTTGTTTGTTACCTACTCCTTTGGGACTATTTCTCTCTTTACTTCTTGTTAATGTATGTTACACACATTTAGACATTTGACTGACTTAAATTGATCTCACATGGTGAGAAAGTGACTGGAGTTTCAGTGCAGTGAGCCCGTGGCTATCTGCCGGAACTGCACTAATCCTTTGTCATTGTTCTTGTGATGAGGTTCTCCACACTATCTGTCACATTCTGCATTGGGCGACATGATTATTCTGCTTAATGTTTGTGTTTGCCTCTATATCCTGCCTTAAATACTGTGTGTAGCAGCAGGGAAAGGCCATGACAAGGTGAATGTCTGCAGTGCAGCTCGCTTCACTTGCATGGATTAGATCTTTGGTACAACAGATCCAGTCCTGATGTGAACTAAATGACAGCTGGCTTACAGAGAACCACTGTGGTCACAGTGGTTTTATTTGAGACTTTTTTTTGCAGAGTGCAACAACAGGCGCAAATCTGTGTGGATACTCTGGAGAGTTACAGCCTGACCTCTCTTTGCTTCATTTCTCTTTGTGTTGAGCCCAGGAAAAAGTGAGTTTGCTCCAGCTCAGCCTGTCTGCGTTACCTGGGGACGGGGCCGTGCTCAGCCACTGCTTGGGTGCTTTGTTTGTAACAGATTGTATTTGTTAAAAGTGTGCTTTACAGCAGGCCTCAAGCAGGAATGATAGTTTCATACCTAGCAGGGGTGAGAATATAGCCTCTTAAAAGATTGCTAACACATGATTTGCCATGATTAAAAAAAACTCATTTTCGCTGCTTAGCAGCCTCACTCAGGTGTCACATGTAACACTGCACAGAGTCCTGACCACATCCCATTAGCATATATTATTCATTTCCTGTGCAAAGAGATGACATTACGTCCAAATATTATTCTGTCAAGATGGCTGTGAATGAATGGAAAGTTTCCAATAAGCGCTGCCAGAAATGAAGACTGTCTTTTTCTTCTTTTTCACTGGTTATCTGACAAAGGCTTTAAGCCCATTGCTGATAGTGTTCAGCAGGTTTTTCATTAGTTTGTGCCCTAAAGTAACATGCTCTTACAAACACTCACTGAAATTAGAAATAAGCATGCTGTCGTGGTTCTCAGGATGCTCTGACAGATTTAGATAAGAAGGCAGCAGCAGCTTAGAGAAGTGCATTCCAGATGCATGTGTTTGCTTGTTGGTGCCTTGAAGCTGAATGTTTAATTGGACAGAACTGTGCACAGCTCATCTACAGTGAAGCCCATTTCCCCTGACTGTCACATCCTTCCCACTGGACACCCACACTGTAATGTCTGCCAGAGTATGTGGACCAGACGTCCCGGTTTGTCTGGGACTGTCCCGGTTCCAAACTAAGTGTCCCGAGTCCGAACAAATATCTGACTGTAAAACACAAAAATCTCCCGGTTTTCAACGTTCACTACCAAACTGTCCCAGTTTGCCCCACAATTAAAATAATATTCAGAATTGTATAGGCTGCGTATTATAGATATAGATATATAAAACAATTGAATTGAACTTTACTTGAACTCACCACTGCGTTTCAGGAATATCTTTATCAGATTTTTTACATTTAATTCAAGTAGCAGATACACATAAGGGATGTCACAGTTTTTCAATCTCATTTTATTTATAGCACAAAATATGTGGCTTCAAAATGTTGGGCTAGTTTTTCTGAGTAGCCTAGCTTGTAGTGTAGCTTGAAGCTAAAGGTGTGGTGTTGCTGCAGTTGAACCCAGGCAAATGAGGAGTAGCTTTCAGCTGCATTTTCAAAATTAAGTAACTTCTGCTTACACATTAGATTAGATAGACAGATAGATATAACTGCATAAGGGACATTCCTGACTTATTTCACTGAGTTTTATGACTCCTCAGTACTTTTTAGCACTTTCCTATAATTGTCACTTGAGACCACAGTGGCCTCTGGAAAATGAGACTGGCAGGACAAACAATAAGAAGACATGGACATTATGAAAAGGTTCATGAGAATTTGGTAATGGCAAATTTGATCATTTTGGTAATGGCAAGTGTTTGAGTAGGACAGTCAGACGGACTTATTCCACATCACATGACTGTCTCTACCCCACAATTGAGCCTTCAGCCTTTTGGAAACATTGTATTCCATTAGTGACTCTGTGCAACCCCAGTCGGTCAGTTCTAAGATCCTTTCAATTACACTCCATCAGCCGTGTGTATGTTCTCATGCGCAGACAAACTGGAAGAGCAGAGGGTGAGTCAAAGAGCGTTATTGGAAATAACAAATCCCTTGACCTTTCGCAGTCCTCTGAACTGCAGGGTGACGGTCCTCCCAGGAGTTAACACACACACTTTCACCTAAAGCGTGGAGGCAAAATGTGTGCTGATGGTTCTGGGTGTCCAGACCCAGCACCCTGGCTAACAGCATGAGAGACAGTCAGCCTGACAGCAGCATTATCCCCTCTGCTAGTCATTAGGCAAACGAGACACATTATCAGACTTTGGAAAACGGAGGAAGTTAGAGTTGAAACCAGAGAGTTACAGTACGCTGCATTAATGTGATGTAGTTTGTCTGGTATGTGTTTTCCTTTTATGTGGCTTTACGTGATGATTCCCTTTTTGTTTCTCTTTTTTTGTTGACGTCGTTGGTGTATGCGGTAATTGCTGTGGTGTAGTTACATGTTCGGCACTGTCACCAGTTTCTATGGATTTTGTGTTGTTGCCATTGGAGTTGTTTTCTTTTTTTTTTTTTTGTGTCACTGTCTATGTGGCAGAGGAGTTATCTCAGGAAAGACCTACTTTACAGAGTGTAATGTGAATCATTTTCAACAGCTGGCTACAGAAGTGCTGACTCTAAAAGCTCAATGAGCCCACAGAGAATTCTCACTAAATATGCAGTTCCCAGGAGCATTTTAACCTCTTGTGTTTGGGGTTTCCTGCCCCCCAAACTCTGTTCTTATCTATCTCGTTTGCAGGCTGATATAAAGCTGTTCAGTGTTGCAAGAAGCCAAAAAAGTTTTATTTAAGTTTGATAGAATGATCTTTCACACTGCGGAGCCCAAGAGCAATAGAGACTTGATTGTGGTGGAGCTGTTAACTTCCGCTTTAGCTTCCTCTAAAAAAAAAAAATAATAACAGTGAATAAAGTAAGTGTCTTGATGTGAATTAGTTTCAGTGTATAAAGAACAAAATGTCCATCTACATTATAATGTGGCATTGTTACTGTAATGTAGACAATAGCTTAAAATGAAGAGTAGATTGTAGCTTCACTAGCTAATGAGTTTCAAATTAGTTTCCTTAACACTTACTTAAAAAACAAAAATACATATTTTGTCATTTGAATGATTTAATGATTGAATTAACTTTGACTGAACATTTCTCCGGCTCTGGTAGTCCAGAACACTGACGAAGATGTTTATTTTTCTCACAGAGCTGTCGTAAGAATTTAACTTAATCCGTTCAAATGTTCACATCATTTTTTTTCTTAAAGAGTCTTGAAGCCTGCCTCCTCTGAAGTGTGGCCCACGACTGAGCGCTGGTGAAGTTCTGTTTGTGTGAATATGGTCTTTCTGTGTGCCAGGAGTTCCTGTTTGATGGTAAATACCGGCTCTGTGTAGGCCAGCAGTCCCCAAGCCCAAACCAAACACTGTTGGGGACGGCTCCAGTGGGCGGACTGGGGCGGCTGGGCGGGGGCTGGCCAGTTACCGCTGATGGCCCCGGGATTCCTCAAAGAACTGTGGCTGGAGTGTTTATGCGGTTGCTTGTTCTTATAGTAAACTCTGTGTGTGATCCAGTGTGTGTGAGAGAGAGAGAGTATACATAGTGCAGTGTGCCATAGTGGTGTCACGCTTTCCATAGCCGCAGCTAAATGTTGTGTGGAAGGTTTCTTTAGGTAACAGACTGATGTTGTTTGCTGTTAGGCTGTTTTTCAGTTCCATTAGAATTAGACATAACACACACGCAAATGCTGTAAAACAAGATTCTGTAATACACAGTCTTTCCAGGCCTGAAAGTATTCTCAACAAGCTGAGCACTTTCACGCCCCCTGCTTGCAGAGAGGATTGCTGCTCTCCAACTTAGTACAGAGTATGTTGTATGATATCTGTATCTATGAATCTGTGGGCAAGGGACAAGATTTTAGTATTGCAAGCATTCTTGCTACTGTTTGTAGTCTGTTTGTAGTCCAAGTAGTATTGACCAATCACAATTGAGCGGGCTTTGGTTGCATGCAGTCTGTGTGCAGAGCAAAAGAGGCGGAGCACATTGGCCAAACCTCGGAACCAATCGGCTATCGCCTGTCAACAGTTTAGCGTTTTATGAATGTACATTCATATGCAGATATGTGTTTATAGAGATTAGCCAAAATGCTACTGGGCTGCATCTAAAGTTGCAAATCGGACTGTAAACAATGACCGGCACACAAATAAAGGAAGTCCTGGCCTATAGTGAAGATGCACTTCAAGCATCTGTTCATACTCAAAGTACAAATAACACTGCTGAAAGGTGCCATATTGTGTGCCCTCTGTCGAACTGACACAGAGACAGCGATGAACCTGGTCGCTCACACCCTGTTCACTGTTTGTAGATACACACACCAAGGGATTATGTTTGTGTGTGTCTATACATTGTTTTTTAGGGAAATCCTGCATAGTATGCCTTCACATTAATACTGTACATCACATACCCAACACATACGCTTTAAAAAGCTGCTCCCTGCAAGTTTATTTTCATGTCACACTGAATTTAATTATTTAATAAAATGTAGAGAAAACCCAGTCCCACATCCAAAACACTAAGGAATCCTCAATTTCCGCAGCAGATCATTACAGTATCATATAACATGGGCAGAAACTGAACTGATGCAACCCTTTGAGCAAACAAAACAAACAATGGAGGAACTGGGAATCGATGTATTTAACCTGTGAAACCATCTCACCTCCCTGTGTTCCAGGGTACCTCCAGGAGGCCTACCTGTGGACCAAACAGGTCCTGTCCATCATGGAGAAGTCCATGGTCCTTCTGCAGGATGTGACGGACGGCTCCCTGTATGAAGGAGTGGCCTACGGGACTTACACCACTCGCTCTCTGTTCCAGTACATGTTCCTGGTGCAGCGCCACTTCGCCGTCAGCCACTTCGACCACCCCTGGCTCCTTAAACACTTCGCCTTCCTCTACAGGACTATCCTGCCCGGTAACTGTCACTTCACCTGCTGTGGGCCAGCACACTTGTTGACTTTTTAAAAGGCTGTGAAATTTATGTGATACTGTTTCCTCTGCAATGGATATATTTAGGCAGCCAAATACAGAGCAGGTCAGCAATCTGTGTGTAAGTGTTTACTTAGCTATGAATGGCTGACTCATCCAGTTAATCCTTACTGGAAAGCTCTATTCCAAAAGTTGGACACATTAGATTAGATGTGAAAATAACCTCAGGCCGCCACATTGGAGAGTAGCTTCTCCTCTGAGCTGATATGGGGTATGCATGCGTGCAGTTATTACCTTCCTGGATGCCTTTCAAAGCTGAGACCTGCAGGGATCTGTGGCGTCCTGGAAGTTTGGACTGAAGGTCAGGGGGAGGGCAGCAGCAGAGGAGGGGCCCCTAGGTCAAGCTTGGACATTTTGCAGCCCCCTGCCAACAGTTTCTGTATTGTGGCTGAGCGGCACTGCTGCACTCAGAAAGCACCTCTAATTACATCAGCCAAGAGGGCCACGGCTCCGGAGCCACAATAGCAGCTACACCAGACAGGGACACAAGGCCAGATTTAACTGCCCCCGTAGCAGCCCAGATGATTGCTGTCCCCTCACTGTCTGTGTGTGTGTGTGTTTTTGGTTGTGTGCAGACGGCTGACAGAAAGCAAATGGTGATCAGAGTGTAACACTGGAAAATAGGAAATCTTCTGAAGAAAAACTGCTCACTTTTTCTGAAACACTGCAGTTAAAACAACTGTCACCATGTTAAAACGTATATGCGAGTAACAGTTCAAATTGCAGTACTTAAAGGCAGTTTAAGCTGAGTTAAAAGTGAAAGTGAAATAAGCAGATAAGAGGAGCAATAAGTGGAAGTGCTGCTCAGTGGAGGGGTGACTCTTCAAGGTTTAATGGGCAAAAAGGTTCACAAATGTAAGTTGCATGGCGTTGGATGATTGCGCATCCTTGAAGTGGGTAAGCACTGAAGTGAATGAAAGTTAAATCTCTCCTTCCACACCAGATGGGAATCCTTGCTCTCTTATCAGTGAGCTTCTGCTGAGCACTGTTGTGCTTATAGACTGTAAATTTAGGATTTGAACGGGTCAATACACTGAAGAAAAAGTGACAGGCCTACACAGTTGTCACACTTTATGTATTTACTTTATATACTGGAAAAAAATCTTTCATATCAGCCTATATCAGAGGACATACGCCAATACCGATACTAGGGCTGTAATATAAAAAAATATTGTATCGAGATATTTTGTTTTGTAATATTGTATCAATTCTCAAAAACACTGCGTTGGGTTTTGTGTTTAAACCCCCAACTGCTAGATAGCAGTGTCATAAATGTAAAGTGAGGGTAGTGAGGGAGTTTGTGCATATGGTGGTGTGTTCTTTATACAGTTTTCCTAAAATGAGATTTTTTTTAAAGAAATATATTGAATCATGACCCCTGTATCGTGATACATATCGTATTGCCTGACTATTGCCAATACACAGATCTACCCGATACCGATATGTCTGCGACTGATAGCGGCCGATGGATTGGACTCTATTATTATTATTAAGGACTATACTGCAGGTTAAGCATGGGTTGTTTGATGACATGGAGCTCTGGTGTTAGCAATACAGGTTTTAGCAGTTGCCCTGTCAGCTCTATGTATGCTGTGAGAGGACAGCAACTATATGACACTTAACATTCATTCAGTCTTTACTCTTCAACTCCTAGCATTATCTCAATGCCGTCAGGAATAGTGCAAAAAGACTTTCTGTTGCAATTTCTGTTTATGATTGTTTTCAGTTGACAAATGATTAACTGTGATTACATACTGCAGTTGCTATAGCTGGTTTCTAAGAACCCCCTCAACACCAGAGTGCAAGGTTTTCCTTACATAATTACAGAGGACAAAACAATTTGCGCCTGGTTTGGGACTGAGCTGGGTCACAGCAGAGGGGACTGAGGTTCATGTAAGGGGGGGACACTTCTGTCACACATTCATGACCACAGGCCAGATATTTTGTACTGAGCTGTGTGTGGTAGTGTGTAGGAATTTACAAAGAATTCACATATAGGTTTAAGTGATATTTTTATGCATGTATGGCACTACAACAGTCAGCACATCAGCGTTTTATGTGTCATGTGTTGCCATTATTTACGATAGCCAGTATTTCTGCCTGACACCACTGTGAACGGCCACCGCTGAAGTTGTCCTCTCTGTGTTCTCACTGTCTCACCAGGGTTTCAGCGGACTGTAGCCATTGCAGATTCCAACTACAACTGGTTCTACGGGCCGGAGAGCCAGCTGGTCTTCTTGGACCGCTATGTGTTGCGTAATGGCAGTGGAAACTGGCTGGCAGATCTGATTCATCAGAATAGGGTGATGGAAGGGCCAGGGCAGGCTGGGAAAGGCCAGCGATGGTGTACTCTCCACACAGAGTTCATCTGGTGAGCTACTGAATTTGGTTTCATAATATTTCATAGGGAATACTTGACTGCAGTTTTTTCTGTTTAGTTATAAATAACAGGGAAATGTACCCCGAAACCATTCTGTTGGGAAAGCATATTTTTTTTCATGCCTCACATTTTGGGCTGTATTTCTTGCCCTGGTTGAACTAAACTAAATCTAATGTCTAATGACTATTTTTATGGTAAATTATGTTTTCGGTTAGTCATTTAAACTATCCTCTGATACTTTTAAAGATATGCGCATATTTGCTTTCTTGCTGGGAGTTAGTTAAGAGGATCAATATCAGTCTTATATGTGTAAGACAAAGCCAGCAGACGATTAGTATAGCTTAGCATAAAGACTGGAAGCAAAGGAAACCGCCTATCACAAATGTAAAGCTCATTAATATACACATTATAAGCTGTTTGATTCATCTGCATAATTACCATTTCACATTAAGTTTTTTGTACAAAGTCAGGTTAGCTGTTTCCTTATCCATGGAGTCTTTAAGTTGAGCTATGCTAACTGCCTGCTGGCTCTAGCTTAATTTGGATATGAGGGTGGTATTGATCTTGATCTGTAGTATTGAATAGATATGTTCTGATACCATTTTTTCTTTCCCAATACGATCCAAATATCCAACTTTTTGTATTGGCCAATACAGAGTACTGATGTGATGTGTGCGATAGATAGGGCGGGTCATGACTTAACTATCCTAGGAAAATAAATGGCTAAGTGGGACATAGCAGGGTTCCACTTGAGGGATAAAACATTTGTTGGTATCAGCTTTTAGGCAGTATTGGAGCAACTCTTCTATTGACCCTTGAAAGTAGCAAGCTTAGGGTTGTCAAAAGGCATCTGGGGAAAACACATAAGTATGCTACGTGTACATGAGGTAGTATATAATAATCACTGTAATACCTTAAAACTCCACCAGTGGTTGCTTTTCATCCATCTGATATGTGTCCTCTCATGCCGTTCTGCAGGTATGACCCAGGCCTAAATCCCAAGCCTCCTTCAGATTTTGGAACATCCCAACTCCACTACTTTGAGGACTGGGGTGTGGTGACGTACGGCAGCACTTTGCCTGCAGACACCAACCGCTCCTTTCTTTCCTTCAAGTCAGGGAAACTGGGGGGACGCGCCATTTTCGACATTGTTCACAAGAACAAGTACAAAGAGTGGATCAAAGGGTGGAGGAACTTTAACGCTGGCCACGAGCACCCTGATCAGAACACTTTCACGTTTGCACCCAATGGTGTCCCATTTATCACTGAGGCACTGTATGGACCCAAGTACACTTTGTTGAACAATGCAGTGTTGTTTGGCGCGGCCATGTCAGGGAGCTGCTTTAAGCCATGGGCTGGACAGGTTACAGAAGCCTGTGACTCCAAGTGGTTGAAGTACAAGGTGGGGTTGGCGGCTGATACCCAGGGCAGAGTAGAAGCTGCTATGGAAAGACAGGGAATGGTCTTCATCCGTGGTGAGGGACATTCCGCCTATAATCCAGAGCTGAAGATCAGGAGCTTCCAGAGGAACTTGCTCCTCCTTCACCCACAGCTCCTCCTCCTTGTGGACCACATCCACCTGGATCCAGACAGCCCAACCAGGGCAATGAGTGCCTTCTTTCACAACACGGAACTTCCATTCCAAGGTACAAAGATAGATGGTGTTCATGGAGCGTTTGTATCACATGGTGAAGATAAATATAAGATGTTCTGGATGGATGACACAGGCTACAGTAACAAGGGAGTGGTAGGTTACTGGAATTACCCTCGGGGGTACCCATACAATGGCTCTAACTATGTGAACGTCACAATGCCACTGCGGTACCCTCACACCAGGGTGGCCTACATTTTCTTTGGACCAGGTGTGGATGTACAGAGCTTCAGCTTGCGTGGCGATGACCAGAGAGTGGATATTTACCTGGCCACCAAGGATCACACCTATACCATCTACCTGCTGACTGGAGAGGTCACCAGCAAGCCTCTGTTTGCCATGGTGCTGCTGGACAACAAGAAGATCGTATTCGAGAAGGCGGCGGCAGCAGCAGGGGACAGCTCGCCCGAGGAAGTCGAGGAATACGTCAATGTGATGGAGGATAACCTCCAGCACGTCAAGCCTGTCTTCCAGCAGATGGAGAGACACATCCTAGGGCGAGTTCTCAACACGGCCAGCTTCCGTAAGACTGCAGAGCGTCTCCTCCAGTTCTCCGACAAAAAGAAAACAGAGGAGGTCATCGAGAAGATGTTTGCGATGTCTAAGAAACAGGGCAAGAGCAAAGGGGGGAAGAGAGTGAACCTCGGAGAGAAGCTCTCTGAGAGTCTACCTGACATCTTTGCACAGATTGAGGTGAGTGAGAAGAAGGAGAGACAGAGGACATCAAAGCGGACATATGAGGACAGTCCAGAGGAGGGAGATGCAGACTCGCGGGCCTTTATGGACTACACAGACGGCCGCAAAAACAGAAAGGGGGCTTTTGTCAAGGGCCGCAAATTCAAGGAGGTTCACATGGTGGCCACGGCAGGGAGCGAGGGTCTCTCCAGCACAGCCTCCTACATCAGACTCTTTCTCCTCCTGAACACCGCCACCTTCTTCCTGCTGCTGGCTGTGATACTGACTCGCTTTCAGAGGGGTCGAAGCTTGCACACGCAGAGATGTTTCTACACCATCCTTCTGATCGACTGCTTCATCTTACTGTACCTCTACTCGTCCTGCTCTCACACACAGTGCTAACATCGTGACACACCTCAGTCTGAGCCAGATCTTATGCCAGAATATTAGGGCTACTTTTAGAAAAAGATTTAAGATTTCGAGAAAGTTATAATTTTAAAAGCGGTGATATTTTGAGAATGAAGTTGTAAATTTGCTAGAAAAAAAATCTTATGTTATGAATGTTTTTAATTCATAAATTAAATAATAATTCATAAAAGTATAATGTTACGAGATGCTTATTTAAATGCTTGTTTATACTTAGTCTGCGCAGACTTTTCTTATAAATTTACAATCTTCATACATTATGACTTTTTCCTCCAAATTAGGAACTTATACTAGTAATATTAATTTTATCTTTAATAATATGAATTTTATTCCCTTATGACTTTTTTCTTCCAATTCTAGGTTTATTTTTATATTATGATTTTTTCCTAATCTCTTTCTTCTAATAGTTTTACTTTTATTCTCGTAATATTATGACCTTTATTATCGTGATTTTATGACTTTTTTCTTAAAATGATGGGTTCATTTTCATATTATGATATTTCTCTAATAATATTAGGACTTTTTCTAGAAAGTACAACATTATTCTCCTAATATTATGATTTTCTCTCGTAAGGCCAATTTTCTTTTATATATCCCAAAATGAAAAATTTGCCTCAGTAGGATTTAAGTATCTGTATTCTTATAACATTATGACTTTTCCCCATAATATTATGACTTTATTCTTTAAATTTCAGGGTTTTTTCTAACAGTTGCTCTAATACACATAAGATCTACCTAATGGGTGTTCAGGAAAAACAACTGATTCCAAATAGGAATTGATGAATTGCCAAGATGAAAACCAGACCACCTCTGATGTAATAAGCTTCTGTGGAGCTTTAGAACCGAGTCTGTGTGAAGTTTGTCCTTTGTAGTGTTCAGAGGTCCTGCCTTGTATCAAAGATCTCAAGGTTAGCCACTATTATAATACAGTTGCCTCATCTGTACTTGAGATTGATTCTGTCCTCACAGTTCATAGAAATACATTTAAATGTATATATGTGAAAGCAAGATATATTTTTATGGTCTCTTTTTTTACCATTTGTAAATAAAATTACTACGTGCATAGGTGTGTATCCATTGTGTGTTGTGTCAAGTGAATGTGTGAACTCAAAAACGTATGGCCAAGACAACTCAATGCACTGCAGCTTTGGCTAAAGAACATTTAGCATTTAGGTAACACACATATTTAGCATGTATAAGCAGTATATAAATAAAAAAAAAAATATATATATATACATATATAATACATTATTTAAAAACAAACAACAGCAAGCAGAAGTGTTTAGTGTTGTATTTGTTAGCGGCTGCTCATAACTCCTCACGTGGACACCATCAAACAGCTCGGCCATAGACCTTTTCTCAAAGGGCGTTTTGACATGTTACAGCAGGAAAAGCAGAGGTGTAAATAATGAATGAATGATGGCTGAATTCCATTCAGCTGCTTCAGTGTCGATCCTGGTATCGTTCACGTTGGCTCGAAGAGAACAGAGCCACTGTTAATGTTATTACACTTGTCCAAATGTCTGCTACAAAAAGCAGCTAGCACTAGCCTTTTCTATATGTACTAACATGCTCATCAGTTTTAATGTCGCTGCGTGTCATATGGGGTGGATGGTAGAGGTGGCAAAGGTTCCCATGTTAATGTGCAAGTGTTCACATCATACAACTCAACATTTGTATAACTGCAGAGTGGGTTATGGTGGTTAAACATACTGTGCACAATAAAACACCATATATATTACATTTTAGGTGGATGTAAGACAGCCATGTTTGCTATGAAGGTATCGTATTCTGAAGCAGCACGTCGGATTCATCAGAGATTTCAGAAAAGTCATAAGAATTCTGTTTACAAGTTGGAAACTGGTGAAATGAACGCATCAGTGCTCTTATTGTGGTGCAACGTAGTTCTGTTGCAGCTGATGTTTCTTAATATGCTTACATTTCCAGCACATTTCTCTTGCTTTATTTATTTGCCGCATTTATTTATAAATGCGGCGTGTTGTCAAAGTGAAGATCTTTTCTTCAATTCAAGGATAACATCAACGTTCTTTATTTTTCTTTTTGTCAACAAAGCTCATAAGACCTAGACCAACAACGTGTTAGTCCCTCTCAATGCTTCTCCCTGCCTTTTCTCTCCGCCCCAGGTGAATCTTCAGTATGACTGGAAAAGGCTCAGTCATTTCCTAAAACAGCTGGTCACTGTAGTTTTTATCAAAGTTAACTCAAACAGGAGGTAACAGTACATTTGTCTGGAAATATTTTCAGCAGCAGATAAAGACTTGTTTGTTCCTCTAGTGAGTATGTGGGGCAGCCCGATGGTGTATGTGGCACTGAGTCAAAATAAACTACAGTTGTGTGTTCATGGTAATAAAGGAATTTGTCCCCCAATAGCACAGTAGTGGTGTTTCCATCAGCATGTATTTTGATGTGCATTTGAATGGATCTCAACAGGAACGGTTGGTGGAAAACAACAAAATTCTAAACAGTTCCACAATAATGTTTTTACACTCGCTTGAAGGGATTATAAAATACTCTTAATGGTAGCTGGAAAAAAATGTCTTCTGACATAACGAACACGTAACTGATGAACTGTTTCTGCTCCTAATAACCGCAGTGGTAATGATTTGCATTTTCTTTTGCAGATTTATATGAGATTTTGCAGATTTACACAAAATTCAGATAAGATGTTCTATACATTTGGATGGAAACACAGTTAGTGTGGCTCACTGATGTGTTTTTGGTGGAGCTCTATGGCACAGAGGAACATCAGGCTTTGATACTCACATGCGCCCTTTGGGCCAGTTCGGAGCCAGTGACTAATCTCAAACCAGTTGTATTTCGACAGCCAAAGAGCGGGCTTTAGGCCAGGGAACCTGGGTCCAGCATGGCACCCACACTTTGTGAGTCTAGAACCAAGAACTATTATTACCATTCCATCAGGGTCTTCTGGAATGGCGCCGGCGACAACGGCAGCTCCTATCATTGTTATAGTTTTAGTGTGTTTTCACTGTGTTTTTCATCATCATCATCACAGGGGACTT